ACATCCTAAATGCAAGCACTGAACATGCTCTATGACTACTGACATGAGAGTCACTCTATATCCTAGATCAGTGATGGCAAACCTTTTAGAGCTTTCAATGATAACAGTCCACTGCGGCACATGTGCCATAGGTTTGCCATCACTACAGATAAATGTGAAGTGATGTCAGACTGTTTGTCAACTAGACAAGTTGATAAAAATATATGTACCTTGGCTTTTGGGGCAGTGATAATCTTGTGCACCACTATAATGTGTGTTTTGAAGTATTTCCAAATGTGAAGCCAACTGTGGAAATGAAAATGATCTGCCTTATTACCTAGACTCTAACAGCATTCCCTTCTTGTGTTAGGAAATCATGGATCATAAGGAAAATCTTATCTGTATGAACATCTATGAAGTATCCCTGACATATTAAAAAAAAAAACTCCACCATATAAGGAATCTATGATAACAGCGACTCAATTTTATACTCAAAGTATATTCTCATATACATACACATATTTAGGCCCCACACTAAGTACATATATATTATCTACTGTATGCCAAGTATGTATGTATATAGTCTTACAATTTAATCAGAGTATAAATAAAAGTCTATTTTTCTGACTAAACTGTTGTTCTGACACATCTGTCAACGATATTTTCTCCAACAAGAACTGCATTACAAAAAGATACGTATTTCAAGAAATTTCCATCCCACTGCCCATAGTTAGGAGAGGTGAAACACAGAAAAGAGATGAACTGATCTCATTAGCACCGATGATTAATTTTCCAGAGGCTCACTCTGATCATTGATCCCATGGATTATCTTTTCATTTACAGTAAATTACATATACTATAAATGCTATAGTTCAGTTCTCAAGATGGACTTTGCTCTTTTAGTCTAATGCAAGCTGTATAACTATAAGCTAGTGCTCCCATTAAAACATCCAAAAGAAACTTGGCAAACTCACATATCATGAGTGAAGGTGTAAGAATGAGTCCAAGGGTAAGTGCCATTTGTTATTTCTTTGTAATAACGAGCTATGTAAAATGAAGGGGAAAATAAAATCTAATTAAGCAATACATTAGGTCAAAACATCTAGTGGGTAAATTTCTCCATTAAACATTATCACTACTAATGTATTTAAAGAGTTCTGGGGGTAAAAAAAAAGAATTCTGGGATACAGTCAAGCAGTTTCTCCATTGTTTGAAGCATCTTCTGGGTGGAAGCAATGGGAAGTTTAAATACACCATTGTGGAAAGGAATTATCTGTAACAAATGGATTATTCTACATATACAGATATGAGGTTTATGCTTATATTCTATAAGAAACCATCCAAGTTTCCCAGCAAGTTGGGAAGCACAGGCCTCAGGCACTCCTCTCTGATGCAAGAAGAAATGCCATGAGCACATCTGATGGACTGCTTCTAAGAAGGCAGTCCTTCCAGACATGTCTCCTGATAGCCAGTTCCCTGAAAAATGAGCCAGCAAAATGTGTTCGTTGTGTTCCCACAGTAAGACAGTTATCAAGTTATCACAGCTTTCTTTCCCTAAATAAGCTGTAGCTTGGCTGCTTCCCACCGCACAAAGTGCTCAGTAGTCACCCACTTTATTCAGTATTTTCTTCTACATCAGTGAATACTGAAGATCCCAGCTTAGAAATAATGCGAAAAAGTTTGTCAGTTCTTTCTAATGTCATAAATGACCCAACCAGATATTTCAGCCAAGAGCTCAGTGGATATACATTTTCAAAATTGCTCAAATGTTAATAACTGTGAAAGACTGTAGAAGAAGAAGCAAGTAATTTCCTTAGAAGGAGAAGACAGGGTATGCTGGGAAGCAGTCAGGTATGACTTCAGAAAGCATTTTGTTCTTACACAAGCACGCTCATAAGACATAGCCACTTGCTAGACAACAAGGGACAGAGTTCTTGCTTCTGCAATACTGCTTAAATTCTGGTCAGAAAAAAATAGGCCTTGGTACTATTGTGGTCGCTGTGAATTACAGCACTCCATAAAGGTAACAAATGCTTATTTACAATATGAATTATGCTAAGGAATTTCAATAAATTCATATTTAATCAATATCACATAACTATCCCAGCCAAAGTGATTGAGGCAAAGAATTTCTATAACAAAGCTCAAGCTACACAGCCACTAAGTGTCTTACAATAAAACACCAGTTAAAATAGTTTAAATTTACTGAGCACATTAGGCTTTAAAAGTTAATTCTAGATTTTAAATGATGACATTGTTTAGCAAGGAGAACTATGACGAAAGATGAATCATGTAGAGTCTAAGTGATTTGGAATTGGAGATCTCGGTGGCATATTATGAAATAGCCAGTTATCCTGATGCTTTAGGAATAACCACACAAATTTTAACACAAGTATTAATCTTCCCTTTAATAGTCAGAATTTTAACATTTTCCAAAAAGATTCACCATGTTTCTAAAAAGCAATAAATATAGTTGAGAAATTCAAAAGCTGTGTATGGGAAGGATTAAGAAGAAACAGTGACATCAAAAAATGCTGATTTGAAAAAAAAAAAAAATTCAATACCTGTTAGGGGCCGGGGATTCAGCTCAGTGGTTCCGCCACCTGCCTTGCAAGGGGAAGGATCCAAGTTCGAACCCCAGTACCAAA